ATTCCCTCTTCGTTAAAGGAAAGATAGCTTTAACTTATTATTTCTCTCGACAGAACAACAAATGTTTTAGCTCAACTTTTCTGGATATAAGAAACAAATGAACACTTCTCTTAATAGAATAGATAAGTTAAACTCATCATTTCTATCGATAGTAGAACAAATAAAGTTAATCCATCATCTCTATCGACAGAAAACAACAACACCTATAAGTGTTACTTCAGACACACTTCTTGACAGAAGAATAGATACTTTAACTCATTGATTCTTCTACAGAATATTTTTTTTTCACTAAAGTAAAATTAGACCCATAGGAAATAAATCTTTATCTTCAATAACTTCTTGCAAAGAATGATTACGTTGGTGTATACGAACGTAAATTTTATGTTGTTGCATAAAATTAATATTAATGTCATACTTATTTTTATTTTCATAAACAGAAGCTAACACTTTAGTACTGTAACTTACTTCGGTAGTCTGGCCACATACCCAGAGGCAGTCACCTTTATTAGCCAATCACGAACTTGCTTGCAACAAGTAAATGTGTTGAATCTAAACTTTCAAGACAAACTTCAGAATTTCTCTAATCCAGAGTGATAATGTGATTGTGAGCGCATTTTTTACGATTTCCTTAATCCGAAGAGAATAATGATAGAGTTTCCTTTCATCAAAATGAAACTAATCATAATTTAATTATTCATCGTAGTAGATATTCGTTTACTTACTGAACTTATCAGCGTAGAAGATAGCTTTATTGGATTCAAAGACTTCACGTTGTGTTGCTTTGACAGACGGATTTCTTACTCAGACCATTACTTAGTGTAAGAGGATTTTCCCATTTCTCATTCGAAGCTGTACCGTGACCATATTCTGGTTTATCATTAGAACAGCCACTATAATATTAAAACTCAAGCATTTACTGAAAGCGAATAGGAAATAATTAGAAAGAGTTTAGTAAATCGTGTGATATGAGATTAAACAACGTTTACTTCAATATTATAACTCGTGGAACTCTGCTATAAGGTGAAAAACCAGCTATCAACACTAAGTTGAAAATATGGCCAGACTCTTCTCTGTGAAACATAACGTATGCAGCAGGAAGGATATAAACATGAGGACAATATAGATAAATATGCACATTTAAAATGCTTATATTTGAAAAACTACTTGTCCACTGGAAACAAAACTTCACGAGAGACACTTTAAGAATCATGGGTTTTATTCAGGAAAGTCTGAAGAGTATTTTACAAGAGGTGTTCAAATCCTTTCCATTATTCTCAAGGAGAATACCAAATGTGTTTCTGACTGAAACTACTTCAGGCATCACCTGTTCTAAACAATGTTCATTGACCCTCGCAGTATCCTCCATTCGGCACTCATTTTGTTCAAACCACCAATCTCTTACTGTTGAAAGATACGGGGATTATAAACAGATGAATTGACAGTTTTCTAAAAAAACGATTCAGTTTTGTATAATGTTATGGTTTTGAAACATCTTGCTCAAGCTTTCCTTAGGATTTCATTACGACTGGTAATTTTTAATATCTAATCATTTTAACTATGGGATTGTATTCAACAAGTTAATATGTTAACCTTTCTCAGGTTCTAGACTTGTAAAAATAACAACTAGCGATACTGAACCTGAGAAAGGTTAACATATTAACCTGTTGAATATAGACTTGTAAAAATAACAACTAGCGATACTGAACCTGAGAAAGGTTAACATATTAACCTGTTGAATATAGACTTGTAAAAATAACAACTAGCGATACTGAACCTGAGAAAGGTACTAACATATTAACCTGTTGAATATAGACTTGTAAAAATAACAACTAGCGATACTCTACATACTCGTTTTCAAAAGGTAGAAAAACTTTCTTCTGACATACACAAATACGAGTTGATGTTTGTTTTGTAACATATTATTTATTTGGTGCAATTTTTCAGACTTTAGCTCCTTATTCAAAAAATAAATCAGTATTTTTATAGTTCTTAATCTATTAGGAAAACCTTCATTTTTATCCATAGATTAAAAACGGAATTTCTATACTATCGATTTCTGGGACAACTAGTTTAATACGTATTAGTTTATACTTGCTAACGGTGGTTTACCAAGAACTTCAGTTCTCTAGGAAAGTAAGGGAAGAATTAAAATGGAAAGAACAAGTCGAATTTCATCTTCAGCTTTCTTCTCTCAGAAATAAAAACTTAGACACGAAAGAAAATTGTTAAGCCTCGAGTTTCTAAGTGCAGCTTCCTCTTCATGATATATTTACTTGCGAAGACTGAATAGTAGGTCTTGTGAAGCAGAATGAAAGTTTAATGATGTGATTTTTTTCTACTTTATATGTTGACTGGTTAAAAAAATGCACACAACAACTAAGGCCAGAGTTGTTCCAGTGTCTCTTCAGCGTTCAATATGTAGGGTACCCGTTACATTTTCTCTTAAGGTTTACCAACTCGCTCACACAGATCTGAATCTTCTCTAAGGAAAGCCATATGAAAACATGCCTTTCCATTATCAGGAAAACAATAGATTTGATCTAGGTCTTTCCTTTGTTATTCGAAAAAAACTTTTGGTATGTATTCATAGCTCCTTTGTTTCATAGCTTCGTGTTGCAATGCGTATGAAAATGAAAATATTAGGCATGTAAAAAAGAAACATAAGAGCAATAATAACAATGAGTGACACTTTTCGAGCTTCTTCCTGTAGTGTAGACACTATATTAGATACTTGGGTTAGGCTTACTTTGACTATTTATACACACACGTGAATAGCCAATATTGTAATTATAAATATACTGTCAATATTCTCTTATTAAATTATTGTAATTTAATTTATATTGCTTATAGTTGCAGGGGATAAAGTACTATGGAACTCGAGCCCTAAAAAAGACGAACCTCACATCGGAAACACTGGTTTCTTTGGGTGGAATTTTGCCGTTGGAGATGATGGTCAAAGTCTCCGCCGACGCATAATAAAGTCGCCTCACCATCAAGCAGAGATTTTCTCTACCTTACGAGAAACTTCAAAGAAACAAAGACCAACATTTGATCCAGGTTGGCGTTTAATGGGCCTTGGTAAACGCACGTACACGAATCAACCCTTTTACAATTATTATAATGGGCCACTTATGCTGGACGGTATCGACACAAGTAATGAAAACATTCAGACAGCACGGCATCCAGAATTTGTTTTAGTTGGATATGACAGAGGGGTCAAAGATAAAAACAGTGGTCAATCGTTACATGTTAACGAGCTTTCGTCACCCTCGTTGAGCAACTTTTTTGACAAACTTATATCTTCTTCTGACTCTGAAGAAGGGACGGACAGTTTGAACGTCATCGATCACTCATCTTTGAACACTGATGAAATAACAAGATTCAAGCCTCGATCCACTGTTTATGAAAGTCATCACCCGGAAGAGTTCTACTTAAAGCTTCTAGGGTCTCGAATGTTGGGTCAAAGGAGAAATGTCAACAAGAGAAATAAAAAGAATGAAAAAAACCTAAAAATCGAAGAACCTCATAAGATGTTTTTGGCTGTCTTGACAATGAATAACCTTAGAAGGTTTTTTGATGAGCTAACAAAAGAACTTGAAGCTAAGGATGAAAGTTTAGGTGATTATTTTCCAGAACCTCTTACGATTCGACCTGCTTTCGTGGTGAAGACTCACGATAAAGGGCGTACTCATACAGAAAACAAGAAACCATGGATTTTGTGGCAAGAGAAGTCCAAGCCCAACTTTGATCCTGGGTGGAATTGGCCTGGATTGGGTAGAAAGTAGTTGTGGTATTAGCTAATGATACCAATAACATTATGTACGCTGAGTTGACACGTTTCCGCTTTATTTGTCTTTTCTTATTCTTCCTAGCTTAAAAACGTTTTGAAATCCTCAGTGAAATTTTCAAATAGTACTTCCATCCAAACCCCTCTTAGATCTTCAGTAGCTGTATGTAGAAGACATAAATATCGCAACAAATATCACATAGATAGTAAGAAGTACTTATTTTTTTTATCCATGCGTAATGAATACATTTGCTAAGCTAACGTCGAATATCAAACTATCCTTCGTTACTCATTTGTACTTACAAAAGAAGAAATAACCGAGTATTACTTCCGAGTAAGGAATACAATTTTTGTTTAGGTAGAGACATGAATTACACTGAAGAATATCCTTCACTAAAATATTCATTATATATTTTGGAGAGTTAGAAAAGATATTTTACAGTCATAGATGACCCGGCTCAAATAATTACAAAAAGCCAATGGAAATAAAATGACATGTAATGGACAACAGATATCTCATTGGTTGTCATCTTTGTTTATAAATGTTGCAGCCATTAGTAATGGTTGCATATTCTTAACTTTTACTCTTCATTAAAAAGCAACAACATGACAATGACTTAAATAAAAACAAAATAATAAATTTATGAAATACGTTGTTTAGTTGAAGAGTTAGGCCCAGCAAAAAGAATTTCGTGTTTGGTCCATTAAGACAGTAGTTCCCAACTCGTACTTCAAGGGGTCCGCCGAGATCTATCTGAGACACTAGAAAATCTTTGAAAAACATTAAAGAAAAAATTAATCCCGCTCCATAAAATTGAAGAGTGGTCTCGGTGAGTCCCCAATGTGTTATATAAACCAACACTCAACCTACGCGAATGGTCGACTCACCCTTTTAACGCAAGCAGCAGGTTTTGATTAACGTAAACCACTCTTTAGTTTGTTTGTTATTTTATACAAATCATATGTGTCAGGGGTACACCGGTGTCTCAAAGTTCTGATTAGGGGTACATGGGACAAAAGGTTAGGACTTTCTGAAGTATTTATTTATTCATAGAATATTTATGATAATGGCTATTTCGCTTTATCGTAAACTATAAAAGCAACTGGAAATATTGATTTAATGTATTTTTAAGTTATCATAGATTATTACTACTCCTAAAATCAGACATTAATTTCTATGGCACAGTTTCCTTGAAATTTACCAACACACGCCACAAGAAATAAACACCACAAAACCAACTGTTTACAGACTTACAACTCTAAAATCCGGAGTTCGATTCCACCCGATGGACAAAGCACAAATAGCTCATCGTGTAGCTTTTCGCTAAAATAAAACAAGCAACAGTATCAGCTTATATGAGTACAATAGCGTCATCTATCGCTAAAACAAAGTTACAGCAGTTCAAAAGACGTAAAGGCTTATGTATCAAGTTTCGTTCACGATTGGTTACTCTTTAATATCTATCTAAGATGGTTTTCCAGTAATTACTTTCCAGCAAGGAAAAACGTATGAAAGCAGGATGTGAGGATTCCAATTAAATACAAACTTTTTAAGTGATGAAGCTTCCAACGTAATAAGCAGAAATTGTGAAAGATATATATTATTAAAAAGTTTTCAAACTAATTAAACGGTATATTTTATTTAATAAAATACAAAAGTTTATAAATTGGTGCTATTACTTTAGTTAGTGATTAGTTGCTTTCCAGATGAAATGCTGACAAGAAAAATATAATATAATACATTTCTTTCAAAATAATAAAAATAAGTCCACGGTGACTCAGCGGTAAATCTCACAGCTTATAATAGTAAAGTTCGGTTTTCGATACCTGCTGTGGGCAGAGCACAGATGGCTCATTGTGTAGCTTTGTGCTTAATAAAAAACAAACAAACATAAAAATTAAAAACATTTCATTAATTCGAAGACAAGCTTTTGCGAAAGATAATTAACAAAATATATCTTAAAAATGTATTATGTAGGCGTTTAGTTTTACAATATTATATATAAACTTTTTGGTGAGCGAAACTGAACTGAGAAAACATCCTATTAAAACAGTTGGTATATTAATTAATTAACTTGTTTTATAGGAACATGAAAAGAACTGTCATTTTTTGTCAAGGGAAGTAGATAAAATGTGATATTTAAACAGCTCTTCTGCATACTGTAGGCCTATCAACATATAGTAAGCTGATATATATATTTATTTATCTTTATTTATGCATATATGAGTATATTCTGTTTTTATGTATATGAATTTCCATAAAATGCATGAAAATGATTTTAAATCTATAAACAAATTAAGCAAGTTATCTACTAGTACAAATTCAAATGTTAGTTGTGCTTAAATACAGAAGTATTTTGAAATACTTGTGTATTATATTCATTTAGTTTTACGCAATAAAGACTAGCAAAACTATCGGACTGGTCCTGTCACTCACAAGAAACGCCCACATTTTTTTATTCATGTTCTACACACAGTTGAAAAAGTTCAAAAGGGTCGCAAGATAAAGAAAGAGAAAGGCTAAGCTCGTTTCACTTTTATTTCAAATTGATTTTCCACTTAAATAAATAAAATTTATATATTCCATAAAATACTGTGAATCAAGCTAAATTTGACAAGTGAGCACATCGGTTGTCCAATCATATTTCGTTACATAACTCCTTTTGCAATATTGAGAATTTCAAATATACAAATATAAAAACCTAACTTTTGTGACCCCTGGTGAGTACATGATTTAATGTTATATTTTTTTTCAAAGAGGTAGTCAGCATAAAATATACTTTTCATCGTAATTAAGTTAAAAGGCATGGGATCTGCAAAGAAAATGACCAGGTTTTTTCACACACTAGTTTTTAAACAATATAAAATTGGTATGATGAAGTTCTGCTTGTAAAATAATACAAAGCTTGAATATTGAGAGCCTGAAACTGCAGTTGTCAGTTGGTTATGATTTGCTTTATTTACCTAATATAAGTTTAATACATTTTACATCATTATCAAATAGTTCTTTCAAACAGAACTCTGGTGTTTATTTAGTTGAATACTAGATGGCAGCATAAATTTTAAAACGCCTTGAAACACACTGGCCCCGCAAATTAAAATAAAATCAACAAAACTTTCTTTTTTATAAAATCTGAAATAAATAGTGTATGCTAAGTGTAAATTAAGTTTAAAAATACACCTAATTAGATCACATGTAGTTGTTGAACGTTTTTGAAGAAAAAAAACTATAAAAAATCTAAACTGGTTCATTAGGTTTGATTTGCTTTGATTACAGCAAAAAACAAAACAAATATTGAGAAACCTATTTAAAGGCTGACAAATTTAATAATTGTTGACAAAGTATTGTACAGACTGAGAAACACACTAATCTTTAGAATATTTTAATAACAGGCTAAGAAACTTAGGGTGAAATGGGGTAAGGGTGGTTATTTGCTTTGAGGACATTTTGAGGATAAAGCCTTTTTGATACCTAAAAAAGTGAAATAAAATATTTTACAATACACGAAGATATTACACGTTGTGTTATATCCTTCAAGTTCAACAAATGTATTTCTCACGGTCAAATGCCGTTGCGATGGAGCAGCTTATCGAATTATCTCTCGTTTTTAAACAAGTCACGGAAAACCTTCAGTCACTTCTCTCTTTTCATGGGCGGAAGATGTGTAGTGAAACATGAAAACTTTCAATCCAAGATTTCACGGTTCACGTGCCATTGGCGCAAAAACGAGCTTATATTTTGCAGTCATGGGTGTGTTATAAAAGTCACAGCCAATTATCAATGTGTAGTTAGGCAAGAGCAACCCAAAAGTTGAGTGTTTGTATTTTTATTTTGTTCCCACAATAGCTTTTAAAACAAGTCCAGTTTAGGTATCGAATACGGATGTGTCATTTCAAACAAGTGAATATATTTTTGGTAAGAAAAGGGTTCCGACCTAGATTCAATAATCCAAGAAATAATTGAATCTACGACGTGCGTAGTTTCTGAAATAGATAGTCTTATCTCTTTTTGCTTCTTTTCTAGATATCTAACACGGCTCCTACAATTTTACGTACCTATCAGATTTAAGTCAGATCGATTTCAGAAAAGTAATGATTTCTGTTGGTTGTTTATAAGTATCCACTTTCGTAGATTGTCAATACATATAATCGATGTTCCAGTATTCGTTACTCCCTGTGTGTCCTTATAGTGGAAAGATGATGTTTAGTTTTAGTTTTTGAAGCATATTTAGGACACGTCGCCCCACCATGTTGGCTTCCCTGAATGTCACCGTTTACCAGATAAACATTATTATAGTATTTTGACACTTGTGTTTAAAGTTAAAATCATAAATAATATTCAACGTTAAACTGGTACAC